GGGGGGGGGGAGGGAATTGAGAATAAAGCTAATCTGAAATGAAGAGAACTCACAAAAAGCACTTTAGAGTAGTAGAAGAGTGGGGAAGAGCGGCTATGTTTTTCCATCCAACAAAAGAGATAAAAGTTGATTCTAGAATTGGAGAGAAGTCACGTGACTGAGCATTGAGGAAAGCATTTTTATGAATGAACAAAATATCAATTTTGCCCTTAGTCGACCACACTTCCCTTTTCTATATAATAGAAATACAAATCAAACCAAAACCGAGTACATATTTTATTAAGTTGGATTGATTTGGTTTTTATTCGCTTTGGTTTTTTAATTTTTCTTAAACACTAGTGACTTATCATCCGACAAAATTTATTCAGAACTCAATATTTACCATAAACTAATAAATACATCACATATATTTTAATAAATTTCAATTATTAAATTTTACTTAAATACTGGTGAAAAAAGTTACTTTACATTTGAATACTACTCCTATGTGCTTAAGTACACACTAAATCAAATAATTGAAGGTTAATTTTAAAAGACATAAATTAAAAGTAGATTAGGTGATAGAAAAATAAAACAATTACGGGAAAGTATATGTAGGGTACTTTCTCAACCAATTTTAGTATATATTCTTTTTTCTTACCTAATTTAGCCTCTTTTCTATATAATTTGAAACATTTTTTAACCTATTAATAGGGTATTAAGAAGATATTTATCAAAAACAGATTTGAGGGTAAAATTTATCATTACAAATTTAAAAATTATTGGGTAAATTAAAATAAAAAATTAATAACTCCATTGTTGGGGGTTTTAAAAGCATGAAAACTCATAAATGAGTTTTGTGATATGTTGATATTTTTGAAAACTTTATGATTGAGGTTCGTTGGGATGTCATTTTGAAGTTGTGATTAAAATTTGAAGCTATTCTCTGTGAAGATTTGTGCTATTTGGTGATATTTTTTGTGAGTTGAAGTTTGTTGGAGATAAATTCAGTTTTTTTATATAATATTATAATAAGTGTGTAGTATTGTGTATCTAGTGTATAAATATTGTTATAAAAAAATAATGATTATGCAATTGTAAACTTAACAATATGGCTATGTAGGTGCGTGTTTTAGGCTGTATTTTTGTGCAAAATCTCTCTAAAAAATTTGTGGTTCATATGCTGTGGTCTAGAGAGTCTGTGCCTCATTGAGATGATGATGTTGTCAACTACATTCGTCATTTCTTGACTAGAAACTTAGTGATCTCTAATGCTCTTATCTACATGAAGGCAACAATTTTGTAGTTGATAGTTTAGCCAATTTAACATGTAGTCGTAGAGTCTCATTTTGAATGGCATGTGTTTGTGCTTTCTAAAACAATTTCGGGTGTTGAGGGGATATTCTTAGGGTGATTCCTATATAATTTTCTTTTGTCGCTTTGATTTTTTTATTTTTTTAAAAAGAAGAAAGTAAGCAAGTAAGCTATTTTCACATTTGAAATTAATACTCCTCTCAAAGTCAAATATACTCAAGAAATGAGATGGGACTCATTAGGACTAGGGCTGGCAAGTGGGCCGGTCCCGGGTCTAAACGGGCCAAGTGGGCCGGTCCAAACGGTCCCGGACCCGGGCCAAACGGGCTTTTTTAAAGGACCGGCCCGGGACCGGGCCAAACGGGCTTTTTTAAAGGATCGGCCCGGGACCGGGACCGTTT